TAAAATACAAAATTGAAAAGAAAAAAAAACGACAATAAAGAATAAAATATTGTAAAACACTATTTAGCAAAACCGGCTGATTCTACTAAAATATTTGTTAATTCAAAATGACCAGAAAGAATTCGTGGAATACAATTGACTTGAACTTCTGTAGGCTTTTTATAACTTAATAAAGTGCATTGTCTATCGAGCCAAGAGTGAATTCCCAGATCCTTGAAGCTTTGAATGGGATTTCTTCCGTCACCATTGAAAAAAAAAGTAAAAGAATATGACATAAAGTAGTAGAACCCTACAATATTGGTAATTAATACCTTTCAACTTCTCTATATCGCTGTTTATAACATCTTCTTCCTTCATGCGTTAATATTTAAATAAGAGAAACCACTATAACCTGATGATGGGCCCTAACTGAAACACTTGCATCAACTAAGAAACGTGAAACGGGTCGCGTGCATATTTTTTGTTTCTTTTATGAAATAATCAATGAACCTTCCTGTTAAGTATTTGTTTACTTATAATGGATTAAATATCTTTAAAGATGTATATATTACTTTCAGCGATAGCTCACTGAAAAGGTTTTTACACAAAGGAGAGTTTACATATGCAAACGGTAATTACCGTGCGGGTAAAAAAGTGAATTTAACTAAGAACTTTCAATGGCTAAGTCAGCGAAGAATCAAAAATTATTTGTATTCTAAAGCATTCTTAAAAACTTTAAGACATTATAAATTATATAATTATCTAAAAAAGGAGAGTTCTATATTCCAAGAGTTTTTGCAAAATAATGTAGAAAAGCTTACAATTCTGTCCAATCATATTAATAAATTAAACTTAACCGTTCTTAATAATGAATTGGAAAGTTCCTTAAAAGTAGGAGACTACTTTTATACTGTAGTGCCTAATCAACGAGATTTACGCTTTTCAAAATGGTATAGAAGTAAAGCATGTTTGGAATTAAATCAAAACAGAATTTTACATGAAGCCGTTGTTTTCATAGATACTGAAGATTTGACTAACCGCTTAAATTCAAAAGATCCCTTAGTTGTTCACTACTTAAAGGTTAGCGGAGATCAAACCCATCTTGTCTACGGTTTTGGACCTGAACATACAATTTTTGGCATTAACGTAGTGGACGTGAGAGAAAAGCCATCAACTATATGTTTTATTAAAGGAGCTTATGATGCTGAACTTGGTAATATTACTCTGTTGTTTTTTAACTTTTTTTAAAAAAAAAACATTTTATTAGGTGGAAAAGTTTCTACCGGCAATTTATGTTTATTCTACACCATTTTAACTTCAAGTGGTCGACCATACCGACTTTACAAGAAATTTTTACATAAACTACCGTTGCAAAAGGAGCCATTTCTACATAGTATTTGTGTTAATAGTCGACCATTTACTTACTAATGTTCGGTTCCCGTTACTCTTTAGGGCTTTGGAACTTTTGTTACGCCTTTAATGTACCTACGGAGGATGAGCTACTTTTTGAAGAAAAAGATAATCGATTTTTCTTAAATATTTCTAGGACAAAAAACGGGCACTTAGTGTTGCTGGGTTCTCATTCAAAGACATCATCTGAGGTTTGGTTAGTCGATGCACACACATCCTCCCAGCCAACAGAGATACACACTCATTCCCGTTCAAAAATACAACTTTTATGTTCAAGAAATTCTAAAATAAAGTATTACGTAGAACACGTTAGCAGTGACATACCTGGTAAACTTTTTAAAAGGTAAGCTTTCTTTCGAGTAGTTTTAATTCACTGATACAGAAAACAGCTTTTACCTGCTTATTTGTCAAAAAACTGAAGCCACAGACTTGGAGATAGTAAAAGCTTATCATTTAGGAAGCGACCATACTTTAGGAGAGAAGCTTTTTAAGTAAGCAGTCGTTTATTAAGGAGGGCACTTTTATTATTTTGGTGTTCCATTAAGTTCGAACTCTGAAACAAAAATAGAAGAAGTTGACGTTTTTAATACATATTGTGTTATATACGGTACATTTAAAAGCGATTATATAATTAAACGTTAGAAAAAAATTATCAAAAACACTAGGAAAACTGAAAAGAACAGGTGATGCAAGCGTTAAGGTTTTGCATTACGACGGACGTAAAGTCGACGACGTTGAGTTGCCCGTCGCCTACTGCACTGTTGCGCCATGCCCCTCTTTAGATTATACTGCTGAAACTTTTAAGTTTACCTTATCATCTCCTATTTTGCCTCCCCTTCTTTTAGAATATGATACTGTTAAAAAGGTAGTAGATTTTTTTTTTTTAAATTATTATAGTTAAGCATGATATAAGTTAGGTTTATAAAACTCTTAAAACCTCAGAAGCAACCTCGGGCCTTATATTCCGCCTTTTTAGTTTAGGTGACTTCTCTTTTATTACTTATTAATAGTATTTTAGACTTGCGTGCTTTTTTATCTAAAGACCTAACTTCTTGTGAAATTAAAAGTATTACCGTGAGGCACGGCGACGTTTTAATTCCAGTCACTCTTATTCATAGTCAAAGTGTCATCGAAAACGGCAAAAACCCACTCATTTGCTATGGTTTTTTTTTGGCAGAAATGCTCAGTTTGCTTAAAGTGCATTCTTCTAGGTTATGGTGCTTACGGAGAATGCTTAAAACGCGACTTCGTGCTAGAGAGAATCCCTTTACTAGCAGACGGCTGGTTACTAGCGCTTTGCCACGTAAGAGGTAAAGATCATATTAAGAAAAGCAATATTTTCTTTCATATACACATTAAATCCAAACTATTGCTTGAAGGAGGAGGTGAGCTCGGTACGCACTGGCACGAACAGGGAAAACTAATGTTAAAAAAGAACAGCGTGGATGATTTTAAGGCCTGCATCGAGTGGCTACAAACAGAACGTCCGTATAGCAGTCCACAGCTAACCGTCATACACGGCTCCAGCGCTGGTAACTTTTTTTACTTCCCGGAAATAAAGTTTCAAGGTTATTTTGAAATATTAGGTGGCTTGTTAGTGGGGGCTATATATAATAAACAACCGAAAATGTTTTCTTGCGCGATAATGAGGTTTTCATTTTTTTTTTTTTATAATATTCAATTGGTTTGATAATGTATACAGAGCTCCTTTTTTAGACGTTTTAACGGAAATGCTCGATCCCAATCTTTTTTTAACGGAGCATGAACGTGATGAATGGGGAGATCCTCTAACGAATAAAGAGGTTGCTACTAAGTATGCTACAATTTAGGAGGCATTAAGACGTATTTGATCCTGGTTATTAATATCACAAAAGTTTTTGGTCTTTAATTTTGTAAACGAGAAGTGACTTTGTTTATAAATTAAGTCACTCTAGTTATTTCGTAAGGCAAAATTAACACGTATACTTTGTAGAGAAATAAAATTGATACTATTAATTTTTAATTACCATCCACTTATTTTAGGTTTATGACTACATCAAGTCTTACTCACCTTTAGAAACTCTAGAAAGATTTAGCCAATCCCCCCCTAATTTACTTATAACAACCAATTTATACGATTCCGTCGTCCCATTTTCTCACTCTGCGAAATATATTATAAAATTACGAAATTGTATGGAAAAAAAGAATTACAAATCGGAAGCTTTTCCTTTAATTTTGTTGAATGTTATTGAAAATTCTGGTCATTCTGCTTTAAGCTTGCACGATCTTGTAATTGAAATGTTGTTTATGTATAAGTCAGTTAACTTAGAGCTGAAGTTTTAGTACATCTGAAAAGTTGAAAATAACTAAAAGATCTATATTTTTAAAAAACTATTTTCTTTTACTTATTATTTGCCTGCACTATCTACGTCGTGTTAATTTAACTTCTCGAAAGCTGGTGCTAGCTTTATACCACATTGTTACATTTTTTTTAGCATTTTTAACTGTTAAAAAAGTTTAAAATGCAGATTTTTTAAAAGGATTACTATAAGATACACTAATTAAATGATCCAAAAAGTAGCAATTTTTCCGCCACCTTTTCTTTTAAGCAGCCCTATACTTTATTTAGTAGTTTTTTTAATACTCTAATAAGCTTAAAAACATAACGCAGAACTGTAAAACAAACAAGACAAAGAAAAACTGTATATTGAGTTCTTTAAACAAATATTTCAATTAAAAAATTAATAGTACTTTTAGTTCTTAGTTTACGATCAACTAATGAGGAATTAACCAAACGATGACCCTTTAAAAAAATTATACAAGTACGAAAATCATTAAAATACATTGTGAGAGTAGTTGTTTCTGTTAATTCTTTATTATGTTACCAATCTCCTTTTAGACTAAGTTTATAAAAAACCCAACCAAGTTAATTCCTAATAATAAATTAATGAAATTGTTATAATTGCTTTTTAGCAAAATTTAATATAACTTTAAACAGTAATCGAAGCTGTTATAATCCTGATTCCGAGCTAAGGAGTAAAGGATTTTATAATTATAAAACTCTAATTACCTAAAAGTGATTTTTAAAGATGTATATATATACATATGGAACTTAAGAGAAAAACGTTGGTCAAATATAACCCGCCTCTGCAGGTTATCACGTTTAACTAAACAATAATATATATAAAAAATATAAAATAAAAAGTTTTTAATAAATTTAAATTTACAAAACTTACTTGTATTATAAACGCTCAGTTGAATAATATTTAATGCTTCAATTCTAATAAAATGATTTAGTACAGCTGCAAGGTAAAGGATTAAACAAATACCATGAATGGTCAACGCCGTTCATGCTAAAGGTTTTAAGCATGACTAGCACGAACTTTCTCGCTATTGCGAACTGAATAGCTCGCTTTTGCCTTTATAATGTATATAATATGAACAGAGAGCCTAAATATTACGACTCTCCTGTTATCCTAGTTATAGGAATGGCTGGTTCTGGTAAAACCACTTTACTTCAGGTTTTATAACGTGTAAAATCTTTTACGAAATTTGAAGTTAATAACTACTCTCAAGCGCTTAAACGCCCATCTTTGTTCGGCTAGAAAAAGGCCTTACGTTTTAAATTTTGATCCCGCTGTACACACCGTTCCTTACCCTGTTAACATAGATATTCGGGATACAGTAAATTATAAGGAATTAATGAAGCAGTAAGTTTATTTCCTATGGATTTTTTTAAAAAACTTTAACTTGCGAAGGTATCAATTAGGACCTAATGGCGCTATTATTACATCCTTAAATCTGTTTTCTACCCGATTTGATAAAGTATTAGAAATTGTAGAAAAACGACAGCAAGATACTGAGTACCCCAATTTTTATTAGCTTTAAAGTTTTTATTTTTTTTAAGAAAACATAGTTTCTTTTTATGCGATACTCCAGGACAAATTGAAATATTTACCTGGTCAGCTGCGGGAGTATTGCTATCTGTTTTTTTAGATCAATATATTTATATATGTTTATCATATTTATATGTAGGCCGTTATCACCGAAGCCTTTTCAACCTCGTTTCCTACTTTGATTGCTTTTGTCATAGACACTCCTCGTTGCACCAGTCCAATAACTTTTATTTCTAATATGTTATATGCTTGCAGGTACCACTTTAACAGTAGATGAGAAGTATATATTAATATTATTAATAATTATCTTTTTACATTTAGCATTTTTTATAAAACCCGGTTACCCTTAATTCTTGTATTTAATAAGTGCGACATTGCCGACTTTGAATTTGCAGTTGAGTGGATGACAAGTTTTATTTATTAAAGTTATATAATAGTTTTCTCAATTTTTTTTTTTTTAGATTATGAATCTTTTCAAGATGCCATTGAAAAAGACACCTCATATATGGCGTCTTTAGCTAAATCACTAAGTTTAACTTTAAATGAATTTTATCAAAATATGAATGTTAATATATAGTATACTAATTTTAATTGTCACTTACGAAACCTTTTTTATTATTACAAAGTTTGTTGATGTATCTGCTGTCACTGGCTCTGGAATGGATCGTTTTTTTTCAAAAGTAATTATGACTATTTTTTTATAATTATTGATCTTTACTCTAAAAAAAAAAAGGTAGAACTTGCTGTCACTGAATTCAGAGAAGTTTATCTTCCTGAGCTGGAACGCCTCAAGAAGCATAAATTGCAGAAGCAAAAAGAGCTGGAGGAAGACGCATTAGAAAAAAATTTGGGCAAGGCAGCTCTTGTGTTTCGCTCGAGTTGTTTTTTCTTTTACATTTATCATTGGCTACTTTTAAATTTTATTTTCTTTAGAAGGAAATTGTGAAGATAATGACATCGAAAGTAGCTGTAGTGATTCCTGTCAATCAGGTCTTTATTATTTTCTTTTTTATTGTATATTTTCTGTTAAATAATGATCTCCTTTAGATTCTGATTCAGAAATAAGGAAGAAAGAAAATTAAGATTTTTTGCAAAAGCAAAAATATGTTAATTAATAAAATTATCAAGCATTTTACTTTTGAAAATTATTACATGCTTTAAAATGTTAAAGATATTTATTGTACTGAACGCGCAAGTTTATAAAACGATCCCTCAAGAGATGTTAAGGCAGAATTTTCCTTATAATTATTATAAGTTTTGTTTTACTAAAAAATCTTGTGGAAGTCTTCAAGCTAATGTTAATCGAGAAATAATTTCATACTAAGCAGTTAAAGTTAAATTTTTAATTTTAAACAAATTTACAAACTGTAGTATTTGAAAAGCACCTTTGTAATTGTGCTAAAAAAAAAGTTTTTTATTTTATTTTTTAATAAGTGCTCTATAAGATGGAGGACTTTAATCGCTTTAACATTTTACGTATTCGGCTTTAAAAATTTGCGCTTTTAAATTAAATGCTAATACGTAGACTTTGTAAGTGAAAAAACAGCTTAATGCGTTATATTAAAAAGCGTTGCTTGCAAATATTACATAAGATAATGTTTTTTTATATACACTATTTGCGTGTATTACCTAGTTAATTAAACTATATTAAGCCAAAAGTTACTGTATAAGTTGACCGGCAGTGCTATGGGTTTAATTTTATTTCATGTTATAACTTTCTTTTCCAACACATAGTTTTTAAGTTTCAGTAAAGTAAAAGTAAAGTCATTGAAGCATTTTAAACGATAAATCTAAAATTTAAATATGATAGCACTCTTTTAGCACAACATTTTTTTATATGGCGAAAGAATTCGATAATAACGCGCAAATCCAAAAATTAAAAGTAAAACAATTCCACTTACAAATAAAAATACACTTTACATAAACGTTTATACTATAAAAGTATATCTACAGCATGTTACTCTCATGCAACTAGTGCGAGGGCCACCGAGAATCTCGTAATTAAGTTTAAGCAAGCAACACTTGCAATTATAGCCAAAACAGGGATAAGGCTAAGTACAACTACAAAAAAATAAACATTTCAACAAATCCAGCCTCACGTGAGCCGGCATGCGTCAAATAAATGTACAAAACGTCCTTACGCGTATTAAGAAAACTTAAATGTTTTAAATTACAGTGCACCCATGAAGAAAAATGCCTACTAAAAGAAAGCCAAGAGGAAGGGCTGCAGCTAACTTACCTAAAAATGATTTACCTAAGAAGACGCCGTTCATTTTTTTAAAAAATTTTTAAAGCTCTATAAATTATTTTTATAAAGGTAGTTTCCTGCAACTTTTGCTTTAGGTTTACGATTACCGAGCTTCCGAAGACAAATATTGTAGAAGCAGCTATTAATGACCGTAACACAACTGGCGTCTTAGTGTCCAGGCCTGATGCTTTAGACATAAAGATTAATAACCTTTCCCTTTCGTATAAGGGGCAGGTGTTAATCCAAGCTACCACAACTGTACAGTTATTTTTCATTACTTAAATGTTATAATTTTTAAAAAAAAATTAAAGCTTGAACTTACAATGGGGCGGCGTTACGGTTTGCTGGGTAGAAACGGGAGTGGGAAAACAACTTTTTTAAAATCTCTTGCCGCTCGCGAATTTCCCATACCAGCGCATATTGATATATATCTGCTACAAGAGCAAGCAGAGCCTTCTGATATGAAACCTATTGAAGGCATTTTAATTATTTATTTTTATGTTATTGTTCTTCAACCTTATTTTTTTTTTTAGCTGTAACCCACTTCGCTAAGCAAATTCACAAGCAGCTCGAGGACGATATTGAGCGTGTTCTTGTTGAATTAGGGCCCGAATCTCCTCTTCTTTCAGAACGTAGGATTCTTTTTTTAATATTAGGGTTTAAGGGTTATTTTAATAGATTAAATGTTCATTACATAAGTATAATTCTTTAATAGTATATGAACGACTGGAAGTTTTGGATCCTGCAACCTTTGACAAACGCGCTGGCCTACTTTTGGCTGGCCTCGGGTTTTTCTTTTTATATAAGCTTTAAGTGTTTTTTTTTGTATTTCGAATTAATAACAGGTTTGGGCAGGAGATGCTTAATAAAGCCACGAAAGACATGTCCGGTGGATGGCGCATGCGAGTAGCACTTGCGAGAGCTCTTTTCGTGCGACCCACAATTTTGCTTTTGGACGAACCCACAAATCACCTGGCCTCTTTCACTCCTTTCTGAATGTATTTTTAAATCTTACAAGGGAATTTTATAACAGGACCTGCAGGCGTGCGTGTGGCTGGAAGAGTACTTGAAGCGGTACGACAAAATTTTGGTCATCGTTTCTCACTCGATCGACTTTATGAATGGCGTTTGCACAAATATCATGCATTTGACTTCAAAAAAGGGTGAACATTGTAAAGTTCCACGACACCGTGCACTAGTGACTTATTTTTTTTTAGAACTTCAGTTTTATAGCGGAAAATTACGACCAGTATGTAAAGACTAGAGAGGAAAATGAAGCGAACCAAATGAAACAGTATGCTAAGCAGCAGGAAGAGATTAGACACATTAAAGAATTTATTGCCAGCTGTGGGACATACGCCAATCTGGTCTGCACTGCTTTTTTCCCGAAAAGTAAAGGGTATTTATATACACTTCTACTGACGGCTATGCCAGGTGAGGCAGGGGAAGTCGCGGCAGAAGCAACTCGACAAAATGGTCGCTGAGGGACTGGTGGAACCCGTCGAGAAAGAGAAACCAGTCAACTTCAAATTTCCTTCCTGGTATACTCTTGTTTGTTTGTTTGTTTTATTTTGGTACACGCGACTTTTTGCCGCAGTGATACACTTTCTCCGCCAGTGTGCGCCTTCCAGAACGTCGGTTTTTCCTATAGCGGGAAAAAAGGCCCTATGCTTTACGTGGGTTTGGAGGTCGGCGTAGTTAAACTAATATATTGCGCCAAAAATAACAAAGAATTTCTTTATTCACAGTTTGGTATTGATCTTGACTCACGTATCGCGCTGGTGGGCCCTAACGGAGCAGGAAAGTCAACTTTGCTGAAGCTTATTAACCAGGAAGTGGCCCCCACCGTTGGCACAATTCAGAGGCACAGTCACCTGAGAATCGCTAGATACCATCAAGTATATAACTTCCCGCTGGCTAGCCTGCACCCCAACTAACATGTTACTCTTTGCTGAAGCATTCGGAAGACCAACTTGACCCGGAAATGACACCGCTAGAGTACATCCAGAGCCAATTTAGAGAAAAGGGGCTGGAGCTTGAGCAGTGGAGGCAACAATTAGGTCTTTTTCCCGAAAAAATATTACGCTATCGTTATCGATGTGAACCCTCTCAACGCCCGCTAGGACGCTTTGGTATCTCAGGGAAGTGTCAGACGTCGCCCATAAAGACACTGTCGGACGGGCAAAAGTCCAGAATAGTTTTCTGCTGGTTGGCGCAGAAGACACCGCATCTTCTCCTTTTTGACGAGCCCACGAATCACTTAGATATGGAAGCCATTGATGCGCTTGCTAAAGCCATCAACTCTTTTGAAGGTTTCCTCGTGACTATCACGGAAGAAACGCTGCATAAAAGCTTCCCTTTACTTTCTCTTGCGCAGGCGGCATGGTCCTTGTCTCGCACGACTTTCGCCTGCTTGATCAAGTGGCGAAAGAGATTTGGGTCTGCGATAAAAGAACAATTATGCCGTGGAGGGGCGACATTGTCTCGTATAAACGACATCTCCTTAAGGAAATGAAGGATATTCTCGATATTATTTAGAGAGAATTTAATGGAGAGAGACCAGTTTACTTTACACCTAAATAAAACTTTGTCTCGTTATAGTCAACTTGCTAATTGTCTTCCGCAAACGGTCTTCAAGGTATTACTACTGAGCACCCTATTGGTAAGCAACTGACTCCCCATGTACTGCACACGTGCTTCTCGAAGATAAGACCAGCAATGGGCCTGGTAAAGGTCGGCTTACATAGGTAATCAGTGCCATCTTTCCGTACAGTACCCAATTAGAAAAGCGAGGCCAGTCCGCAGTAACTTTCGGAAAGTCTTTTGAACAGGAGACGCACATGCGCGTCGTCACGTGAGAGAGAGGATAAAGGCAGTGCGCGACGACGACATGAATTGCCTATAGAAATATCCAACTTTCAATACCATTAAACGCAACCTTTTATTTTTCAGCGGGACCTTCAGCGTTAACTTAAGGAAAGCATCCGAATCGGTCTCAGTGCTGTCGAACTTCGATTCGGTCAGGTATCCGGTCTTGTCTTTACAAATAGTTAGGTGATTGCAAAAGTAAAAAAACACAGCGGAGCTCTATTGTACCAAGAGAGGGATTTATCAGAGAAGATAGAAGATAGACAGCCAATGGCCTCATAGCTCTTAAGAGCACCTCCGCTATCGCAAGAGGTACAAACGTGTTCATAAAAATTGGTCCAATGTGCTGTTTAACAACCAATCAGTAAGCATAGATTTGGTATAAATACTACAGAATGACGTTGTTGTCAAGAAGCGACAAGAGACAGGTCATCATGCCTGCGTTGGGACTGCCTTCTAAACAATACGCTACGGAACGGACGCTGGCAACTACGCAAAAAAAAAAAATGGCAGGCAACTTCTTGGTAGTAGTGCCGTTGCTTATCACCCAGGAAAGGCAGAGAGACAAAGGTTCCTACAATAGCAGCTGCGCACTCTATAGACATCTCCTTTAACATATTCTGGAAAGAATAATTTTTAACGTTTGCGCTTGTGCCTGTGGCCTCCTTGTTGGGATGGGCAACGTTAGAAGCATAAGAATGGCACGCAGTAGATCCATATGAAAACCCTGCATACCTCGTAAAAAAAGTTCTTATAAAAATAAGCTTTTGTGCTTCTAGTAACAATGTTGCGAAAAGCTGTGTGTAATAAAAAGGCAGGACAACCCATAAATATCTCAAGAAATCCTCGTTGCTTTAAGACATGGCGGGCTAAGATTAAAAAAAAAGTTTAACAGAAATGCCACGTATGTTACCTATAGTACAAAGTTACTTCTGAAAATAAGTTACCAATATTTAAATGAAATCTATAATATTTATAATAACTAGCAGCAGAGTAGTAATAAAAAGCTACGATGGTATTAGTTATAACAAACTATATTCAGATTAAGAGGGCAACTACCGTAGGTCCACGCTGAAGGGAGGTAATAATAATCTCTTCGAAACAACGTATACTTTTTTGGGGGGAGTGGTTCATAGCCAAGTTGCTATATGTACGGAAAGTAAAACAAAAAACCTCAAAAACAATATAAATTACGTACAATAAGGATTCTAACATATTCCAGAGGATACAAGAAAACTTGTAAAGCTACATCTAGTAAATTATCTATCAAAACTAATGTTTAAAATTTTAGATTGTGCAAGTTTTTTAAACAAGTAAAATTATTAGAAAAATTCAGGTAGTGGCACTTAACTGGTCATACAAAGACGAACTTTACTTAGTTAAAAAATAAAAACTAGTTACAGCTTCGCTCCTAAAAAATTCTGTGGTATGAAGCTAAAAGCGAATTGACTATCGTAATATAGGAGACTTGTAATGTTGCCAACGGGGCACATGCTTGAATGACGTGACCCTACCACTACGTTAAACGAGATGAGTTTTTGTAGTAAAATATTTTTCGCAGTCTCGCTTAAAGCATATTTTTTTCTAATTATATTATACAATTTAACATAATCTTCATTGATAGATCAATCGTTAATACAAGTGCACTGAGTTCCTTACAAGCAGTGTCCCGATTTAAAACAAACTTTTTTAAGTAGATTAGTACGTAGGAATGAAATGAGGAAGACTGAAAAAGGGTATCTAAAGTCAAACAGGTTTAGTTAAATCTACTAGTAAAAGTTTATGTGGGATAGTAATATAACCCTACAACTTTGTGCTTAGCCTTCAAATAAATTGTAAAAAATGGGCATAGTTTTATTTTCAATCTAAGCGCTAATTGCTGGTTTTTATTTTAAGGTAATGCATTTATTTTAAGAAGACTATTTTAAAGTTAGTCTATATTACCGAAGCCTCGAATGCAGCTTTTATCAGAATACCACTGTAAGCTTGCGCTTTCGTATTTTTTTCCGTGAACGCATTATCTTTATATGAAAGGCTTATGCAGAGAAGACCTACAAATAATAATTAAAAAAACCAAAGACAAAAATCGTATATACAAATCATAGATCGAGGCACTAAATTTTCTTGGGAGATGGCCTATCTTAAAAATTCGAAAAGCACTATATCTTAACCTTTCAGGATATCTTAAAAAAACAGAAACAAAATTTTTAAAATATTTTTTTTGTAGTTACTTGAAGTATGAACTATTACAACCTCAAAATAGGAGACAATTAATTTAAGAACTTAGTATCAAAAATTTTGTTCTACACGCTTTTATAAATAATTTTTTTTTTCATTGGTATCCTCATTCCGGTTATAACAAAATTCGTGTAACGGAAAATGCTATTATTTTTTTGCTAATTTAAATTTTTAAGAACTATATAAAAAGATCTTGATCATACTAGTACTATACCATTAATAATAAAGTGGTGGTATTAAAAACTCTATACCTATAAAGCAAGCGGAAGATGAGTTAATAGTGTACACCAACATAACTAATAATACAAGTTTTTAATCACAGCGTACAAAAAAGTTTGCGTACTGCAAGGATTAGATAAAATCTTGAAATAATTTATTTTTATTGAAGACATTAATAAAAGAAGTTATATTTACATCAAAACTAATAAGCTCGAATATATTTCTTTTATAAAAGAAATGATAATTTTATATAGTATAATATAAACTTTATAAATCAAAAAGGTTCAGAGGAAGGGAAAGGCTTCTAGTGCTGCCGAGCTGAGGTCCCAACCTATTGTATTTTTTTCGCCATCTTAACTTAATAAATCTTTTAGTAAGCAATATGGCAAGTAATTAGCTAAAATATTGTGACCGCTACAATATTTTAATAAAAAAGTAGCCTTCCGCCAAAATATATTTTTACAAAATTATGATTGACGGTTTGTAAAGGTCCATTTTTGGTTTAGTTCCAAGCTAAAATGAATAACTTTTCCCTTGAGGTCTGATACTTCAGTTAACTTTTAAATTTAGATACGTTTGGTACTTATAAAGATATATATACAACTTAAGCAAAGTATAAAGTAGTAACACTTTATCTTGCCCCTTAGCATTTTATTTACCGCTATACACCGTTATTGACCAAAGTAACAATGTAAATTATGCTCTTCTTATCATAACTCAGCTGCGTACCTATTATTTAGATTTCCTCGCGATAAATGCCCTACTAGTTATAAGGGTGCGCAGACTTGTAGAATTTCATTTTTTAGTAGTGTGTTTAGCGATGCGTTTACTTGATGACGATCTACTAAAGGCTTAAGTTAAAGCACTCAGCAATGTCTGTGTCTGTTTAAATATATAGTTGGGGTAAAGTTATAACTTTAGGATATAGAACAAGTCTCACAGACACGCAATATCTACATGAGAGTTTGTAAAAAAGCCTTTTGATTAATTATGTAAAAAAGCTTACCCACTCTAGGTTAAATACTAGGCCATTACGCAAAGCAAACCATTCTTTGTCCACAATGCGACCTTTATTGAGGATGCTACTACGAAAAATTTAGTTAGCACTAATATAAAATTTAGGATATAACATATACGCAACTCAACTTGTCACGTGCATAATCGTAGAATAAAAAAAAACAAAAATTAATTTACATCGTTCTTATCTGCATTGACACTATTTAATGTATGAAGTAGGTGGTTATGCCATCTTTCAAGTGGGAGTCTACCTTTTGTTTTATTAGTCCCGTCTTTTTTTTCCTTTCTACCTTAGTACAATAAAATTTGTTTTATTTATTATTACTGATAGTAAGTTTTCCGTTAATATGACTTTTCACAATTTCGCTTTTTCCTTTAGTTAACACAAGAAAGTATATGTATAGTAGTTGGCTTAATGTTTTAATAGTTTTAATAGTCTCTAACAGATTTCATTGGTCTTATATATTTATATAACTATTAACTATGGAAAAGAAATAAATAGCATTTGTATTAATCATGCTAACTACTTTTACTATATGAAGATGAAAACCGCGTAGTCCACCGACTAGAAGTTTAGAATGTGTTTAACGTTACACGTGGCTAGAGACTGACTGTGAGCTTATAGTGTTCTAATAAAATAGGACTTCTCTTTCGCTTTTTTTTGCCTCATTTAAAATATGCAGAGCAGCAGGTTATATAATACACTTGTCCTTTTTGGCCCTTCTGGAAGTGGGAAGTCAACCCTACTTAAAAACTTATTAGCAGAATTCCCTAATATTTTTGGCTATAGCATTTCGCGTTGGGCTTCTACTTTTTGCACTTTATAATAGCGTATATTTTAAAACTTTTTGATTTTAATTTTAACAGATACTACAAGGCAACCTCGTTTAGGAGAGATTGATGGGAAGGACTATCATTTTATTAGCAAAGCTGAAATGCTTGCAAGTTTTATTTTCCTGCTTTTCTATTAATAGTCTTTATGCAATTTATAACAAATAATTTAATAGAAATAGAAGATAATATGTTCATAGAAACTGCAGAATATTCCGGTAATTTATATGGGACCAGTAAATTTGCAATTGAGAGTGTGATATCAGAAAATAAGGTGGATAATTTATTTCATAACTTGGTTTGCCTTTAATTTTTTATTTAATGATAATAGATATGCCTTCTTGACATAGACATGGTTGGTGTTGAAAAACTTAAATCGCTTTCATTTCACCCCTTTATTATTTTTATAAGACCGCCTTCTATAAAAGTTCTAGAAGAAAGGCTGAGAAAGGTTAAAGGACAATTCGCAATTAAGTTTAAGCTTAAAGCAAATTCTTTTTCACCATTTAATTTTAAGTTAACTTTTAGCGTGGATCTGATCCAGAATGTTCTATACAGAAACGCTTAGAAATAGCTGAAAGAGAGTTGGAGTACGCTAGTAAGGCTGAGCACGTAAACTATGTTATAGTAAACGACAACTTGCAAGAAGCATACAGCAAACTTAGAAAAGTTGTTCTTCAGTGTGTTCTTAATAAAAAAGATACTGAATAAAAAAATTTAATTTTTGTTATTTTCGTTATTTTAATTAAAAAATTTCATAAGCTAAGAGTTTTTTTATTGTCAACTTCCTTTTCTTTTGCAGTATTTTATAAGAACGTCATCGGAGTAAGGCTGTGGGAAGGAATCTCCGTCAGGCGGATAGCACCTGAAAAAATTTAACATTAAAAAAATTAAATTTTAACTTTATCCAACTTTTCTTGGTTATTTCAGTCTTTACCAATAATTTATTGCAGTGTGACGTTTTCCAAAAGATTTTACGTTGTGAATCCAGCCTTTAAATTTCCAATTTTTAGCAAATGTTAAAACATTTGGGGTTTTAAAAATTTATTTAACTATTCATAATTTGAAATTAAATTAAATAAATTTTAAAAATTTAACTTTAGTTTTTTAGGTAAATAATAGATCCTTTTTAATTTAAATTATATTATTAAATTCAAAACTAATATTAAATATAATTTGATTACTTCTAAGATTAAATCTTGTTTTTAAAAAGTAAAGAAAATTAATTTAAAAATCTACTATATGATTAAAATGTGCTAAAAGTGAAAATCTTTTAGCATTTGTATTTATAAATTTCATAATTATTGAGTTGAATGGATAATAGCTAAGATAATATTTATTATAATACATCAAGTTAACTTAGCCAATATAGAGTTTAACACAAAACTTATTTAAGTATTACAGAGACATCTAACTTAAAGGTAAAACTGTTAGTTTTAACTAAACTAATAAATAAAATTCTTTCTGATTAAATTTTTAATGAGGTAAAAATATTTTGTTTTCTCTATTAATTTTATAATAACATCTGCAATCCTTTTTAATTGATTATTAAATTAAAAAAAATTAATAGTACGAGTAATAAATGAGACCAGCTGGTAAGTAGAGCATCTCGTTTTTGTTAACCAAAACTTTCAAAAATTTAATTTTAGAAAGCAAAGGAAATTCCTTTTCGGCCACTTTAGAAATCGCTTGGACGCGCGAGAAATTTTCGGGAAGTTTTTTGTTTAACTGAGAAGATATTTTTTCACTTGTTAATCCTTTTTGTTTTTCTAAAATATTTGTTGTGTAAAATAATTAGTCAAAAAAACTTAAAAAAAATAATTTTACTCTTTGTTTGAAGTTGAAGTAATAAATCCAACTTTTCTTCAATCAAGCAGTCTAACTGCTCCTTTTCAGTTTCACTTGTTGCGCACTCATAAAGATTTTCAATTTCTTTAAGATGAACCCAATAAAATTTAGGTTGAATATTTAAGAAGTATACAATATTAAAAATATAATCTTAAAGATAATAAAAATTTGAAGTGCATCTTATTATTTCTTGAGATAATTTCAGAAAACCATAAATTTTATATTATTAATTAAAATATATCTTTTACAGTTTTGCTCTGAAAATTTTTTGTTATACAACTTAGAATAATTTAATTTAAGTTTTTTTACGCAATTTTACAAGCTTCGCGAAACTGTAAAAAGTAGTATTGCTTAGAAAACTTTATAATTAACAACCCTTAAGTTGATACTTAATTTCTGTTTGCTTTTCCAATATTACAATGCTCTTTTCGAGACCTTTAATATAATAAAATTCAGTAAGATTTAAAAAGTTGTGTAGGCAAGAACCATATTCAGTAACGTCACTCATCCCTTCGTATAAAATTCTTCCGTTCTTAAAAATCTTTTTTAATTTGCCTATTTAAAATCACACCGAAACAGTTTAAGATAATTCGTACTTTTTGTACCAAAAAAAAGTATAAGTTCCTACAATAACATTAATAACTTGACCTTGTGTATAGACATGAGGAATGTCGAGAGGACTGGCAAGAGTAAATTCCTTTCTGCCATCCAGCAAAATGTACAAATTATCGTGATAGTCGTGATGGAGGCCTTTTCTCTAGTTATAACAGTTTTAACTTTTAAAAATATTACCTACAAACCTGAATTAGAGCCCTCAGGGCTGCATCCCATCCATAAATTTACTTGATGAAGAAGCTTTCTTATTTTATTTATTATTATCGAGCTAAATAAAGCTTTATAGAGGCGTAAACCAAATTCCCTAAAAGACTAGGAAAAGGTTGTGCTCCGCCCAAAAGTAATGATAAAGGTGGAGAATAAGCTGACAAGCGCAGATGCTCTTAAGAACTTTAAAAGTCAAGGTAAATAGAGGTTTCGGTAAGTAAATTATCACTATGCGTTTCGTCGTAGGCGATGCTTTCTTCAGCATGCTGAGGAGTTAAATAAAGAAATTTATTGCCTCTCTCAACTTCCGATAAAAAGTCAGAAAAAAGCATTTTCTTTTTCTTACCTAAGACAAATATACTATTATAGCAACACAGACATAAAACAAAATATTTAAAATTCTATAAGAAGCAGTTCGCATTAACTTAATAAATATTAACAACCTAAACCAAAGTTAACATTTTTCTTATTAATTCCATTGTGGGAAAAAGAAGTGTATTCAACTTCTACCAGACATTTTCCAGCCTTTTTCATCATGTATTCATTATTCCAATGCTGGACATATCTCTCAATTTCCAAAGGAATTGAACTGATGATACAGGGCTTTCTCTTAGATACATAGTCCGTATAAAAAGTAACCGGGTCCACCTCGTTTAGGTTAAGCCTGCCTATAGAAAGCTGGTTTTCGGTGAAGGAGTAACCGTTATAAGCCAGCATTGTCTACTAAGTTTAGCAATGCACGTATACTTTTGGAACTGCCTTGCAAGGTTTGCTTCTCCCATAACCGTGCTCTTTGTAACATACATCCACCCGTGATCTGACAGTTAACTCTTCGTTAAAGCCACCAGGTGTATCGCGTTAGTAAATACAGATATTAGCTAGTCGGTACCACCGACTAGTGTCGTCGTTATGAAGTCATAGTGCAGGAAAAAAAAAATTCATTTTTTCCTCTTCAGCGAAGTAGGGGGCCCCTACTGAAGATTTATTCATGAGCAACTTATCAAAATTATAAAAAACATTTCTTATTATGGTTCATTTACTCAAAGAATTTCGCTGTCTTCCAAACGCAATGAGTACATCTTTATTCACCTGAAAGCCTATGGGTTAGAAGACAAATAAAGCAGTTAAGAGTCTCTTATGATAAAAAAGCTGATATAGTTCTTGCGACAGAAACACACTTAATTAAAAAATATCTTTAAAGTGCCTAACTGCAGAATAAATCGTTAAGAAAGAGTTGACTCTTAGAAAGGATTATAGCAGTCCTAGTCAAAAGACACCTTCCCCACGCCGAGAATTTATTTAACTACTGATTTTATACATTTAAAGTGATGCAGCCATTAAGGCTTTTCTGTTAAGTTACGAAGGACGTCTTATGTGGCGACCTAAACTGTAAAATTTATAAAAAAAGTGGAATGGTAGAGTGAAAAATACTAATGGAGGAGCTTTCAACAAGTACGCCGATAAAAAAGGGTTAACTGTTTTGAGTCTAACCAACCCGATAGGCAAAACTAGGTGGGGTACTGCTATTGTATTAGGCATTGCCGTCATATAAAATAATTTACGTCTCGACTTTTCGCAGACGATTTTCACTGAGCTTCCTACTGTTCGCCTATCTATGGTTTTTGATAAAGGAACCTAACAAACTCTTTTACGTAAATCTATATTAGAATCTTTTCCAAAAAATTTGAATGAAAAAATTAAGGGCATCCCATGCGACCTAACTCTTTTGACTGACTCAATAGCTACCTTAAAAAGAACGGTCATTCAATCATCCCATGCAGCCTCTACCACTATAAAGCAATTACTTTTAAAACATGTCTGCGGCAGAAGTTGACGTTCTTCTTCATTTCACGAAATAGTAAAATAGGAAGGCGTTAACACCACTCCCTGAAGCTTAACGACTACTAAACGACCTTGATAAAAAGGTTAAAAGAAGCCTTCTTACGATTCAAAACTAAGAATTAAAGAATAAGCTTTTCCATCTGAAACAACAACCCTCATTCTTGTTTGTAATTCGTCAAATTTGTAAAAAGCCGTCATAAGCATTTTCCCTATGGCCGGGGAGGCCTGGCTGGCAAGGGTGCTGGCCGGTATCTCTAGGTGGCCTCGGGTTTTGTGCCCAAGGCTGTAACAGGCTAACTATGTGTAAAACATCATACCGGACTCGAGAGATGTCGTCGCAGCTCAGCGGTTAGAGCATCGACGCGCATACTCAAGGTAGTGGATCCGGCCCCCACCGACTCGACTCTCTTTTTCGGTCTTTGATGCTATTACCTATTTAACAGTTAGGCTGTTCCTCCCGGAGGTGGTTTTTAGTTGTTTACACTAGACCAAACGGTAGGACTCTGGGCAGGTTACTTTTTTTCCCGCTTTTCCGGTCTTTCTGGATAAACATTATAGCACTATGAAGAGCGTACACTGGTGGTTACTCGTGCCCTAACCCCTGCAGAAGAAGAAAATTCAGATCAAACGACTTAAGAACTCTTAGAAAGACCGGTCGTGGTATGGCAGTGATAAAAAAAACATATCCCTACATTTATGGCAAACACCTAGAATCGTTTACGCAGGTAAAAGAGCGCAGAAGTCTTTTCTCAGTGCCTCCTTTTTTAATGCCTATCCTTATAAAACTCTAGTGATTGGGTAGTAACTCTCGCACAAGTCGAAGTACCTTTAAATGAAATATACAGACTCCAAATAAGTGCAATCAATTATGAAAACAACTTTTCATCTAAAAATTGCACACCGCTCTTGTATAACAAACTTTATGGTAAAAACTTTCCCCCTCATTGTGGCCTCCCTTTCTTTCTCACAATTTCTAAATCATAAAAAAGTAGCTACAGTTATTTTTCTTGTAATAAGTCTGTTATTCTGCATTGGACTAAAAAGTTACTTCTAAGAGTACAGGGGTAACAAAAACAAACGCTTTGTATGTTTTTAAAAATTCTATGGTTCATATCAGATCTTAGCTACATCGAATTCTAAAGCTCTTTATGTTAAAGGGCTACCTTAATATAATTGCTGAGAAAACTTTTGCTAAAAGAAATATACGCTCCTAACTTAGTAGTTACGACCATGAAAAATATTGGGAGTATTTATACATTGGCATCTATTATTGAACTGAGCCTCATAAAGCCCTCCATTGGATATGTTTATTTTAACAAAAAAACGTTCGTATATATTTTAGGGAGGTAGCCTAAGGCCTAGTTTAGCTGCATACTATTATTGCGATAAATAGATAATCATTTTTTTATCAAGTAGAAGTTTCGAACGTAGTATGGCATGACTAACTTCAAAAAAGAAATCATTCTTCACGAAAAAGTTTATTTATTGAGTTTGTAAAGGGCTAAAAAACATAGCGAAAAAATTAAGTTTTTTCCTTGAATGTTTAACTGGTAAAAGCTTTTTTTTTAAAACGATTTTGACTTTTTAAAAATAATATCACCGGATAAATATAAGTTACTAAATAATGAATTTAGTTAGTGTCGCTCACCTTTTGGTCAAGCGAAGAGGACTCTCTTCAAACGTTGCTTTCACAGAAATTTAAATAATTTGAGGTATGTCATGTTTTTTTTTTAAACTTAAAAATGCTTTGGCTTTTGCTTACTTAAATTAATAAAGGAAGTTAAATCAACAACTTGTGACTAATTTTTTTGAGTAAGGTTTCAATACTAAATTCTGCATATTAAGCATAAATAGTTTGTCACATAAAACGTTGACTATAGCTTCAGTTAGATTATTAACAAATCGATTAACGACTAATGATTTGGCTGCGCCATAGCCGTATTATTAGGCATTACCTTTAAACATATGAGTATACGAAATAAACTTTGGATAAGACGGTTCAACAATGAATCATTGTTGACTTTAAATACAGCAAGGACACATTAGGCCATATGGCGTCCATTTTTCTTTAAATAATAGTAAAAAATGTTAAATGAACACGCTTATAATATGCATTAATAGCCTTTATAAACTTGTGAATATTTCTAAAAACTGCGTCGTCTAACAATTTTAAACATTTTTAAACACCTGTGGTTTCATAGTGGCAGGACAATAATTCCTTAGCGACAACGACTATAATTTTGAGTTAAAGCTTTATTATGTTTTAAGTGTACAGTCAACTTGACAAAAATTCCAGTACGTTAGCAGAAGTATCTTTTACAAGTTTCGCGGGGACAACATTCAGAGAATTTGGTGCAGAATTCGTACTTTTGAAAAAAGATCTTTTAAGAGCCGATTCTTCTCGAGCGTCCGCAAGGCTCGCCTGTTCGTTTGCAAACAGGGAATACAAATTTTGTATGGAAAGCTTACAGCCTTTAAACATGGTATCTTGTTTGTTGCCTGAGATAAGCTGAGTAAGAAAGAAAAGAAGGATGTTCAGTTTGTGCACCTTACCAACATAAATAACACTGCCAAACTCATAGCCGTCTACTCTTTCTTGAAAATATTGCATTAGAGAACCTTCCCCATACGAAAATAGAAGGATGCCTTTAAAAAAGGTAAAAAAAAGGGGGTAAAAAAAGCAGGAAGGTCGCATACCAGTCTGGCGGAGGTAGTCCAGCAGGACTGGCGCTTCCAGAAGAAGCCAGGCGGGAACATATATACCTAAAAGGTGTGATAATGGCCCGCTGGTAACACATACATGCAGTCAGATAGTATATACCTAACAAAGAATGGCTCTTCGCAAATAAAAGAGACTGATGAAGAGAGTCATCCTGATGAGCTGTTCTAGCTGGAGAGGAAATTATAGCTCTATAGAACCAGAGTTGCAGGTGCAAACTCGCCTGGGCTCGCCTGAATAAAAACGGGGAAGTTCGGCTGCTTCAAGTTCACCATCAAACAAACTGCTTTTACCTAAGTATATTCTATTAATGATATAGAGGATGAACTTTAAATAAAGCTCACATCTGAGGAGAAAATAAAGGAACGAGAGTTCCCAAATATAAGGATATAACTTAAGAGGGCATCAATGACCCCATCAAGCCTTGGAAAGGAAAGATTTTCATCTTGTTGCCCAAGGAAAAGGCAGATCCCAATACGAAGAGGAAAACGCTGTGGTATATTAAATGAATTGGTTTTTTGCAATGCCATGAAGCTTCTACTTGTAAAAGGTCATCAAGCTTATAGAAAGGCCGAGTGTGGCCCGTGTATAATTCACTAGTAAAATAGGCAATGGCGTAAGCAGGCGTAAAGAGGGTTGTTAAGATCCGCATTTACCAAAGCTCCTGGTATGTCAACGATGAAAAGGGGAGAGAAAGAACCTCGCCGGAACTAAGCGGGATCACAGCTGCAATGTAGCCAAAAGTAGGCCATTTAGAGTAGGTGACGAGGGAGAACTTACCGCGTGCGTCATCACTGACGACAAGGGAGCCATCCGCGAGAATCTGGGAGCGAGGGGCACCCAGAGGTGATAAATGCGACAAGTCATTAAATGGGGTCCGAATACCTTTAACTGCACTTTGATATATTCGGATTCCAAAGAAGTGAAAAAAGCCAGAGTGGAAGTACTACCATCAATACTAAATAAGATAATAACATTTATGGTACCCCGACGCTCTAACCAAAGATTACTGCCGACCTTTTTGCCTTGAGGTACTGTTTGTCTACGTAGTCCTTAACAGGCTCGTGCGGCAGGGAACCACGTAACGGCTTTTAAATGGTTACCATAGCACGCAAGGTACAATTTCTTTAGGAGTCACACGAGCTTACGACTAGTAACTAATACAAACCGGGTTGAGCCGCCAGTAAGACTTGCTTAACTGAAAAACTGAGGGGGGTAAGGAAGGCGTCCTCAAAGGGGTAATGACCATGTACTGAAATGTGACCGTCCCTAACATCTCGAGCTTACTGTTCATTAAAGCGCTCATTATAGTTCCTAATAAGAGGTGGAGGTAAGAAAGAAGCTACATGGGTTTAAGGGACACAGTATTCACCTTTCAAGTTTGCGAAAGAACTGGGAAGTACCATGGCGCGACCTACTAGTTCGGTGGACTGACTCCCGAAAACTGGCAGGACATCCAACTGTAGAATGTGGCGAAAAGAATGAGACCCTAGAGAGACGATTTGTAACGCACCTGCAAAGTCAAGTCTGAATAGTGATCCGCTTGGAAAGTAAAGCACTCCGTCGGATCCTGAATGGGCAATACAGCAAGTTGCGGTTTGGTATCGTTTTTACCATTGGCCTTTAAAGGACAATAAAGTTTCGGACCTTTAGCGCATTGCCATTAATAATGAAAGCAACACAGACCAAGCTTAGCACCAATCGCAGAGATAGAAAGTCATGCCACGAAGAATAAAACTTCACCGGCGAGTTACTGGGGTCAGCGTAATCGTGAACATCTACGCCTGTTTTTCCATGTGGCGTACGCTGCAGCGCAAAAAGGCAATTAAAGTTCTAAAAACATCTAATTATATTAATAGGCGCACCAGTTGTATGTTTAGCTGGAACTTGCCATTTAAATGGTTGTGTCCGTAACGGCGAAAGGGGATAGCGGGAGAAGACAAGCGTAACGGAGGCATCCTCCCGCTCGGTAGAGCACCAGAAACGTCTAATAAATAAGCAAGACAAGCACTAGTCGGGCACTGTTACGTTAACCATCACCATCGCCGCTTCGAGTATTCATATTAGTCTGAATGCTCGCTTCTTCTCCGGCGCCGGTCGCCTCAGAAGAGTTTGCTGGAGGAGAATAGTAAGTAGTCGCCAAGGGTAGTAAATACGCTGCAACTTCGATGTGGCCTCTGCGATGGAGCAATGTCCAATTAAACGTACATACCGCGACAACATCTTCTGCAACCTAAAGAGCGCATGGTCGCGTGGTGTCCAGCCTAGACCGTCAAGAAGAGCCACGGGGGCGTTTCCTGCACCCAACAGTGACCGTCATCAGGCCTAAAAATCCACGAAACAATAGAGAGGAAATGACTTTCCTTGCTCCACCAAAATCTTGACGCAAGACAGATGGCCGCGACTTGCCGCTTCAAATAACGGGCTCCACTTCGATAACTTATAATAGGCTAATAAAAACTATGCACATGAAAGTAGGAGCAAGGTTGTAAACCTTATCCACGTTGTCCACTCGAGCGTTACAGTTTAAAAGGGTCGCGCATATATCCGGGAAGCCATACCTGGAGCAGTAGTGCAAAGGAGTGAGCCCTTGGTCGTCCGCGTGGTTGACATCGACATCTATAGTCCAGAGGGGAGGGAAGAGTCAAGGCAAGTCAGCCAAATAAATAATTGAAAAAAAAAAAAGGATATGCTAGCGGGCCTCTTTGAATCAACAGGCCGACTATTTCGCGATTGCCGTAGATACAGGCTACCGCTAGAGGGGACATGTGGGTATTTGCTAGCCCAAAATATTGTTCTTCATTGCCTTTAACCAGTAAGCCAAGTAAATATATATTGAAAGGGGAGACGGGTCAAACAACCTTTGTCCAAAAGCATGATAGAGCAGTTTGTCCAACCATGTGCAATGGAATAAAACAACGGCGTATTTCCCTGTTTATAAAGATTATCGTAAGTTCGGGTTATAAAGAGATGCGTGGAGGTTAGGTATAACGCGCCTCGCAATCCTGCGCCGCCAAGTCGGGATCCCGAGAAAGCAACAGAGCCAAGACTGCTTCATTGCCGGTCATTGCGGCGTAGTGCAGAGGTTGCCTCCCTTCGCCGCATTTCCAATATAAAAATTACTTTGTCAGACTAGTTTAAAATTTAATGCAAAGGTAAAATAAAAGTCACCATTGACGTCGCTAACGTGCACACTGGCGCCTTTTTCTAGTAAAAAGTTCAGTGTCTTTCTACAAAAACAAAGGGAAAAACATTGTAAGCGCAGATTTTCTTAAATTTTATAGGGCACTACATTTGAAGGTGAATAACAGCCTTATGCAAGCCTGTCCGACCATTTCTGTCAGTAGTGTCCACAGATACAAAACCGCTTTTTAACATCAGTTCAATGACGTCGTGGTATTCAGGCCCTAAAAAAATGATAAGTGGCGGATTGCTGTAGTTCGCTTATGAGACCTTCATTGCACGCTCTCACGAAAGGAGGCCCCAATAAATAAGCAAAGGAATCCTGATTGCCTGTATTTCCTTGTTCGCTGCACTGCTGAGAAAGTTCCTATATGCCCCGCCCTTACAGGATAAGAGGGCCGCCGGGCAGAAAGGGAACAAAAGACGATTAAATAAAACTTTGAGGAAGTCCTCTATGCTCTCCAAATCATGGCCGACTACCGCGGACATAAGCCTTCGGGATTCCAGCCCTCGCCCTTGCACTCCCCTATTCTCTTTCGAGCGCACTAAAAGACTAGTGATTGCGCGAAGAAAAACTTATTCAAAAGAAAAAACAGTTGGCAAGGCGATCTGCTAGAGAAGAGAGATAAGAGTCTATAGAGGCAGCCAGTTTGTCCAAGACGGAGTGGTTAGTGCAGAAAGGCTGCAGGTAAACTTTGTGGCCAAGGTAGATCTCTTGGGTCTTCTGGCTTAATTTCTTGTCGTGCTAAAAAATCTGTGCGATACATAAGTGAACAAAAAACACAATTATATAACCTTCTTAAGTATTTTACGGAAACCAACGCGATTTAACTCCACAAAATCCTAAAAAAAAAAAAAGGAGGCGGCCTTAAAAAAAAAACTCCAGATTTGAAAGTTTATTAAAAGATACTTTAAGAAGAGAAAGTTCGCTTTTAAGCTGCGCAAATCCAACTTCCAAAGAACGAATACCCAAGAGATCTCTACATTCCTTTTGACTAATAAAAATAAGTTTATTTCCGTTAAGGTAAAAACAAAAAAAAATGACAAAAAACTTAATAAACTTAATAATGCAAAGCTTTAATTATAACCTTAAAAACGCTTTGGCTCTTCGAATAGCGCTTCCCAAACGTTTCTCTAGATTACTTAGCTCTCTTACATAAAAATTAGAAACCTTTTCATAATATTTTTAGTGACTTTAATATAGATTTCGTAAACGGGTAATGATACTTTGTCCAGGTCCCTATCCAAAACAAAAAAAAAGACTTCGTTGCCGTTCCTTGAAGATTTTATTAACTTTTTTAAGCCTTTATAATCTATATAATATCTATAAACGAAAATAAATTAAATTTTGTAAGACAACTCTAATGTATCATAAGACCTGGCCCAAGGAGGATAACGCTGCACAAGTAAAGTTTTACCAAATTTCATTAGTGTAACTTAATTAGTAAGGGCTGCTAAGATTTATCAGTAAATAGTTAAAAGTTTAAAAGTTGAAATAAAACGTGTGCCCGATCTTCATCGAAAGCAATAACATAATAAAGTTCTTAACCCTAACCACCCTCTCCTTATAGGTTGGCAATTTACTTGTGCACAATGCATTATGCTAAAGCTTGTATTAATAATTTTCCGCAAAGTAATATAACTTTTTAATATATAGAAAAAAATTTATTTTTGTAACCTTAAGCTTGGGAGGCTTCGCTCTCCTAAGCTCTTTCTGACTTAAAATATTACTAGATTTCTTTTGGCAAGCGTAAGGGGGTAGAGCTAGAAAAAACCCTGATAAGGATGCAAAAGAGCATTATTGTGACCATGGACACAGCCTTTTATGTTCCACGCTTGAACTGGTGCTTGCAAAGTTCTAAGTATATATAGAAACTATAATTTTTCCAGCACTCAATAAAGATATAATTATGATAATGAGCTCTTGTCATAAAAATTATTATAGTTGCTACTTTTTTGTAAGTTAACAAAAATAACGGAAAATTAGCCTGTTAAAGTTGTTTTTCCCTAACGAGTGATCTTTCCCACGTGGGCCTCACCCAATTTAGGCCATACAGTAAGGGTTATTTTTGAAAATGTTTGTTCTGTTTATACTTATCTTTTTATTCTTTAAAGTGAACGTCTTTATATAAACAAGTTTTTCTTTGAGATTGCGATTATGATAGAATACGAAAATGAGGAAGAACTTGATTTTGGTGCTGACTTAATTGAGGGAGATTTATCCACTAATCTTTTCGAAGAAAGTCAAAAAGATAATACTTCGTTAATAAAAGTTGTTTATAAAAATAAATTTTCCTTGTTTTTATAATAATTATATATATAATTTATTATAATTATCATTAAACATACAAAGTTTATTTGTAAAGATGTCCTAAATTTTTGTAAGACTAGACTTCTTTTTATAGGAAAATTTTCAAGTTGCAGATAATCTCAAAGAAAATCTTCCCAAACATCTTACGATAAAGAAGTTAGATGCTTTTTTATATTTTATACTGTTATATCTGATTTTTTATATAAAAATTTTAAGAAGAGTTATTAGAAGCCAATCTTTTAATTTATAAAGTATAAATCTGTTATTAAGTTTTATGTAATTTATATTGATATTATTTTATTATATAAAATAACAAGTATGTAAATTATTTACTTAATAGAGTCACTTCCAAAGAATTTCAACCAAATTCTGACGTTCAAAGTTTTCTAAGTGAAAACAATACTGAAATGATAAATAATGTTCAACTCGCTACTGGCTACAGTTCTGAGCTCAGAAAAATTTCTCCTCCGAAATTTTATTATAAAGAACAATTAGAAGAAAAGAATTTAGTGAAAATTCCCTTTAAAGATAGATCCGGACATAGACCCCTTAGGCGGCCCTTTTCAGCTGTACACTATCATTCTACTTCCAGAGAAGGAGGTTAGTCTGGGGTAGATCTCATCTTTAAAGCATATAACACTCTGTTCTGAAGCCCTTTTAAAGAATAGATTGTACGAAGGTGATTATAACACGTAATAGTACTATTGTAGTAAGCAATTATTACAAAAACCTTATAAATAACTATTATTGAAATTAGCTAATAGCTTTTAACAATGCTATCATAGTAACTAAAAAAGGGAACATGTGTATTTTGTTTGAATGCTTCTAAATTCTGTACTGAGCAGGGAGCTTGTTACCTATGGCCTTCCCGTTAGCCAGACCGCCCCCGTTGCTGCCCTTGGTTGTGCCGGGGCTCCCTTCCCCTTTTCTTCCCAGGCCCCTATTGGTCTATTCTCGCCCGTCAGCGTGTGACCTACGACCGGGTTCCGGTCACTATTCCCCGCGCGGTCGGTCTAATCAAGGCTGGCTTGCCCGGCCTCCTGTCTGTGTGGCTCCCATTTTCTTTGATTATCCGCTGGAGCGGGTGTATCCTGCCGAGTTGCCTCGAGTAGGCTTCTATTGGAGCTGAGTAGCAATATCTATTATACGCACTCCATTATATCACAGAAGCTACAGTATGAAATGATAATGCGTGGGGAAAACAAGGATAGAGGCTATTTATTACATAAAACAGGTGTGCTAGCATTCTGCAATTTTTTTTTACTATGTTCTGCTACCTGCTTTCGTAAAGGTTACCCTGAAGATTCTAATGATACCCATTTTATCAACAGAGAAAGGCGCCCTTGGGTTTATTAATTATTGTTTATTATTTGTTAAACCAGATTAAATATAACAAACAGCGGTCGGGAAGATTAAAGCTCTCAAGTAATAAAAAAGTTTCTGAGCGTTACGGGTGTGAAGCACATTATTTGCTGAAATAATATTTACGAGAATTTATGTGAACTTTCATAGTTCTGTACCTGGAGCACGTAGCCCTTACGTTAACCCCCGATTTCTTAGAATTGAACGCGCGCACGATTTAAATTTTAGATATGGAAAGAGGCGCCCTTACGAGGACGTGAGGCTTTTTTGCGATCGGCACATAATAAGTAGTAATAAATCACTTCTTTATTAGCAAGAAGAACACGTAACCCACAATGGCAAGCGCTTCCGCAGGGAAGACAGCGCGCGCCGAGATAAACAAATTTTTAAGCGAAAAAAGTTTAGGGAAAAAGTATAACTGCGCCCCCTTTTAGTTTTTTAAATCGCTAAACTTTCAATAAGCCTCCTACCAGACCTGAAGTCAAAAAATATAGGAGAAGCTGTAGCCCCCAAAATGGAATCAAGCGGTCAGAGCAGGAATTTTTTATGCGCATGCATAATTAGGTAACCTGGCAATAGAGCTGCTAAGAAAAACGGAGAAGTGTCCACTACAACAAAATTATTGAAGGACAGTGATAAACGTTCAGTCACTGTCGCGAACCTTTCTGCCGCTACAAGCCCCGTATTTCTCAGTATTTTACCAAAATTGATTAATTGCTGATAACATTAACGCCCAATAGACAACTTTAAAGAAAATGCTGAGTTCTGTGGGAATAGTTGAGGTTCTAGTGTTTTAACCCTACCGAATTATTCTTTGAAAGTGAATTAATACTCTTAAGCATGTTAAATTTTGCGACGATCCTGAAATAAAAGTAACTGCTACATTTGCGGAAAGCAGAGGGGCTCTCGCTTGTCGACGTCGATATCACAAGTTTCGTACTATAGCGAGGCATCACAAATTTACTTATTTAACAACTCTGCTTTGCTATAGGCATCTCCTAGACGGACGAGTGATCACCGTAACGTTACATTAAGGCCTTTAGAGAAGCCCTGATTTCCTTTGTAACTGCTACACAGCACTTAATTAAGAGAGTAATAAAACAAAAGTATTGGAGGGAGAACCACAGAGATATTGTAATCAACCAATAGGCGGTGGGTGTTCCTCCCGTTCACTACAAACCATTGGATAAACGTGCAAGTATCGCTGATAGGAACTATCAAAGATTATTTTGATAAGATCCTCGCTGACAGGGATTCCTCCGAGTTTTTGGAGATGGTGCACTTTTCCGTCTTTGCCTCTCGTAATGGTGACGGTGAAATCCGCCATCAACAGTTCATTTTTAGTGGGGTCCGCGATTATAAATTCCCTAGAGTTTAATTAAATATTAAACAGTTCTGAAAAAGACTAGCACTAATGCTGACAATAAATATTTTACTACAGTTTATAGTTAAAAATAGCGAAGTTGTTAGTTAAATAAGTGTAAACAAGTAAGTAGTAATTGTAATAAAAACAATGACAGTTAGATAGAATAGCAATTATTACTTGTTTACTAAAGAAAAGGTAGAGGACACTAAAAAGTCATTAATTTTTAAAGGCGAGCCGTTTTTGTATTAATTTGAGGAACATCCGAAGAACCCTTTGAAACAAGTTGAGGTAACTTGACTATTTTCGCCAAATTAATAAAATATTTTTTAAAGAACTTTTTTTATATTCTTACCGCTCTGTAAAGCACTTTGAAAAGCCATCATCACTGCATCCTCTAAAGCACCGTCGTCATCCAGACACGTGATGTCGGCGTACAATACCCAAACGATTTCTTTCTCAACGATGCACAGTTGATTCAAGTCCACCACTATACTGGCTTTGTTACCCGTTGCGAGCACTCTTTGCACTATAAGATTTGTAAGGTGAGCCGCATAGTCTGTAGCTTGTTTCCTATTTTTAGAGGAGCAGACAGGCGAGATGACGACTGCAGGCACTACGTGGTTGTTTATTCCAGTCAAACGAGCTGCGCTTTGATAAAAGCGTGCTACCAATAAATCCTTGCTTTGGATGCCTTTCAGTGGGCGGGGCAAACTTAGCCTGCACACTACACATCACTGATGTATTCCCTATGCGCACAACAGAAGAGCCAACTGCAGATTCAAAACAATCTAAAGTCAAATCAAACATATAAAAGTTATATCTTTAATATTTAGATACTTGGAAAGACACATACAGTAAGCAACCATATATCACTTGTTAACATTCGGGTTTAATTAAAAAACCCACTAAGGAAAAAAACCAGAACGAATTCTAGGTGTTGCCAAACGGCCCCTGCACGCAATAACCTTTATATATCCGTGGTTCACTTAACTTTATTAAATACGATAATCCTTCTAGTTAAATAGAATGGAAAGCTTATTAAACGGCATTCACTACTATAAAAACACAATATCTAATATTTTAGTAGGCTACAATAAAATCACCTATTTCTACTCCCGTTTCCCTAAATTCCATAAATTTTCGGCCATCAGGGCGTATATTTTTTCTCTGTTATAAATATCAATAAATTCTATAAAAAAAAAGTATTTATACTTAACGATTTGATAATATAGTATTTACAATAGTGATTATTACTAAAAATTGGTTATAATATTCCGTTGGATGGACTTTTCTAAAAGTTTCTGCCTGCATTAAATTACCGAATACTTAGGCGCTTCCTTGGCCTTTCCCTGCAGTAGAACAAATAGTTTAAGATAACAAAAGACATTCCTTTCTTAACGTACAAAAGTACTATTAAGACTTAGAATAAGCACGTGCTTAGTTGTGGGGAGAAGGGTAGGAAGGCGAAGGACTGTTTTAATTTAGGAAGTGGGCTGAGACCGATGGAGAGTTGACTCCCTACTCCTTGAGCTTAGCACATTAAACCACCTTTTGCAAACAATACAGTCATTTTTTGCAGGAGCCTAAACAATAATAACTACATCTCCTCCTTTTTTAGGGAGACTGAAGCGCCCGAAGTAGTGCCTTGCTCTCGCGAGAAATGACTGGATACCGAAAAGTATTAGGTTCTACCCTTTATCCATAAGGGAAAAACCGCTAGAAGACAACTTAAAATGTGTAGGGATTGCCCCTCAATGCTGCTGACGGTTTTATAGTCGATCCCCGCTTTTAGTGTGTAGGAAACCGCCTACCAGACAAAAACCTTCTGTGCAAAGTAGTCAAGGTTAATATCGAGCTTGTTCAATATTGTCGAGTGACCCTTAAGCTAATAATAAATTTTTACCACTCATAAAAAGGGGCACCCACCTGTAAGGAAATTATTTAGCGAAGTATCAAATTCTAATAAATCACAAAAAGTGGTTATTGAAGCTAATAAAATAAGAAATGAATGGATAAACGTTGTTACAATTGATATAGTGATAGTGTGTTTCTGATGACAAGCCCAAAGTTTACATTAAATCTCAGAGATGAACGTCCTTTATTAAGAAATTCCATAATTAAGACAAAATTAAGCAACAAGCGCATTTTATTTCTGAAAGCCAGATCAACATCAGAAAAAAACTCGATCAGCTTTTCTTTCTCAATTGGATCAAGTGCGCGTAAATTTACATATTCATAAAAGGGATTTCAAATCCATAGTTTTCCATTAGATGGAGCGGAACTAATTTTAATGTCTTCCTCTCGTACGAGACTATCCCAAGGAGTCAGTTCTTTTTAAAAAAAATTCCTTTTATTTATTAACGTAAAAATATTGGAGAAGACCCCTGAAAAGAAAATAGTAAAGTTCGTTCATGAGGTTATCTATGCCCGCCATGTACGCGAGCTTAACCGCTCACTCCTCCTTAAACAAAGTTTCTACTAGGTCAGAATTATATTCTCGCAGAGATTGATTTACTTCTTCCCTTAGTTCAAACTAGAGTGCAAAAACTCTTTCTTTCGATAAACAACTTTCTTCCCCTTGGCATGGGATATGTGGGTGATGTGAGTCCATTCTCTCAAGCAGTGTCTAGAACAATCTTGAGCTAGTAGCTCAAAGTTTCTGGGGATCATGCAGTGTTTGAACAAAAACTTCTAGGTGATCAGCTTCTATCATTTTCCCAATTACCCCTTGAGCTACCAAACTCATGTTCGCAGCACCCACCGTGCGCACACCGACGCAACCACCCCAGTTTAAGCCCCTGTGCTTGGAAAATATATAGATTATTAGATATCTCTGAATTAGTGATCCGTCCAGGTAACTTTAGTCTTCATCATGCACTATACCGCACGGAGCAATAAGAGAGCATGGTTACTCCCACAGTTGATTAATCAAGTTTACTCGCAAAACACCTTATTTCTCAATTCCCTCTACAATCTGCCTTTTAATATCATTGACCATGTCAACAATTTTCCTCTTAGCAACATTTTTGGAAAGCGGTATAGCCTCTGAATTTTGAGTGACTTGAGAACCCAAAATTTCTCATGCAATATTTAATATTCAAGACTTCACGAACTCTTTTATAGTAAACAGTTATTTCGTTTAGCTTTTTAAAGAGCAACTAAATAAGACGCTTGAAGCAGCGACTAGTCATTAGTCGTCATCGTTTTCATTTTACTTTTCTGAAAGTTCATTTGGTCGCATAATTGTTCAGAAAATCTAGTGGCTTATTAGTAAATTAGTACGCTTCGAATGCAAGTGACGAGCCAGTTTGACGACCCCATAACGCCAATGGAAAGAACTTTCGTAGTTCTCTGCCAGGGGCTACAATGAAACCAAGCTTTAAAATATTCCTTATCAGTTTGCCTAACGAAGTTTTTGTTCTATTGGTTTGTATTGCGCATTTCGAAGAATCAAAATATTTTTATATATAAAGTACTAGTTCTTGGCATACTTTCGGAACACTGATTTTCTTATTAGTACTTTTGCCTCCATTAAGTTAGAAGATTTTGCCTGTTTGATCTTTTTAAACCATCTTATAAGATTTAAAGGTATTTATCAACCAGGTCATAATATTAATTAAGCAAAACGCACGAGCTCGATACAATACGTAATTTGTGACCCGATATTGAACCAATCTGTTCTATAGATTGAGGCCTTAGCACACAAAGGCTAAGAAAACTACGGTGCGCAAGCGGAACAAAAGTGTTCATTGTTATAGCAATGTATTGCTACAGGCGTTAATAACATTCAATTGCTGCTTACCAATATTCCTTTTCTAAGGAGGGTGCGCAGCTAGGATTAGCTTAACGAGTCATTTGCGCCAATAACAAGATCAAATGAGTCATTTAAATAGTATATATATTAACAAGAAACAGCAGCAAAATATAAAGAATAATAATAATACATATATCTGTAGCATAATATATTTTATAACTTTTAGAGATTACTAAAATTAATTGTAATCTTGGCCATGACACCCCCTCAAACAGGTCTATAAATTATTTGGGCAGCAAGTAAATTATTAGAGTGGCTACTGGTCCTAGTAACTTAGTTCCCAAAAAAAGTATTCCGGGATAATCTTTATCTTTCTTTATCTTGCACACAAAGCATGGGAATTCGCGCCACAAGATCTAGCAAGGGTTTTCAGCTTTATTTTATTTAGTCGAATTAATTTTAATTGCAACGAAAGCATTTTCTAAATCGTTCATGATTATACCTGGGCTTTAGCACGAACGGCAACTTAAGGCTTGCCCCCCAAAATTAGAGCTATGTTACCTTTTTAATATTTGTTAGTTAATAACTATTATAGAACAATAATTGCTACCATAATTCTTAGAGTGATAATTAAATTTGTTGCCTGAGCCAGGCCCAATACGTTTTTCTTCTTCCTCTTGCTCACTTGCTTTTTTTTCTTATTTTTATTTTATATATTCTAATTACTTTTAACTTTTATTTAGTTTACTTTTTTTTTATTTTTATGAAAATAATTATAAATTATTTTTTCTTTTTTTTTTTTTGCTTGGTCTTGTTTATATATATTTATAGATAAAATTTTTAATCATGATGTTCAGCTTTAATTTTATAGAATTTTCTGGAGATAACTATTGGTATGGGAAAGCTGGATTTCTTGCACTGGCTTCCGAATTGGGCTGTAATTGGGTTTACTTGCGTAAAGGCCCTGTTTCAACCGATCCGGCATTTACCTCTGGTTAGAAGTTGAAGGCACATAATATTTTGGGCTTTGTCCATGACGCTCAAAATCCATGTGCCACGTAAGTACTACCCTCTTCTCCTGCTGAAGCATGGAACTCGTAACTAAGTGAATAGAGTGAAAGTCAACTCAGAACATTTTTATGCTAAAAAAGAGCTTATATAACTTACAACTTGAAAATTTTGGCAGTGTGCGAGAATATGTTAATCAAATAAGGTTTATTAATAGCCAGTACAGTAATGTGTTTGGAAAAAAGATTTCTGACATGGACAATAATCTCTTTTCTGAGAAGGCTTTCAAAATAATACAGCATCGTCATTGACATAATAGAGTCCCAGGTTAACCCTACTTTTCAAGCTGCCGTTGCGTTCATATCAGACAAGGAGCATAAACTAAAGATCTCTTTGGAAGATACAGTGATGAAGGCCAGTATTGTATCCGCTTCGAAGCCTAATTGAAAAGGAGCAGGATTATGCTGGTTTGCAAGAACAATTTTCTGAGCGCGTCTGCCCTATTTGTAAATTTGTTTGCGAAGGTCTCTTACAAAACTGTCGAAGCGCCAACCTCGTTGTATTAACTTTATTAATTGTAAGTACAAAACTACTATTACTTAGTCTTATATTCAATTTACTATAGTTCTTATTGTGAAGGACTATCTCTATTCATTTAAAAGCAAGCCTTATGGTGGCTTACGTAAAGTGATTTTAGCGGATGGTGGTGCAAGTTTATTTATTCACAGACTAGTTTATTACCTCTTTAACGCCACTTTTAACACCCATTATAACAGCCGGCGGAAACATCATATATGCGACCTCTTAAGGCGTTGTTAATACACTCGGACTAAGGTTACTAGCCTATTTTGCAAAGACCTTAAATCTAATCTTTAGTCGGTTAGTAACCTTACAAAATGGGTATACTGTCCGGTTTAACAGCGAAAAACTGGTTTAACTAGTGGGAAGAAGGTGAACATTCCTTTCCCTCGACACAGATATGAGTAAAGCTTGGATATTTGGCAATGTAGACTAGGTCAAATTTCTGAAAAAGTCGTTCTAACTATGCCCAAAAATAAATTGGTTGACAACCTTGATACGATTTAAAGTCATTCTATTGGTTCTATCTGTGAAAATGACAACTGGGCAAGTGTAAGAGAACAGTTTTTTTTAAAAAGGCCAAGCATAAGGCAACTAGTGCATTTGAAACTTTGCAATTTTAAGTCAGAGAGCCCGTCAAACCAACTGCGTTAGGAGGTTATACATATGCTATATGTTTTATATGTGTGTACAGTGGTTATAGAACATGGTACTTAATGAAATATTGGAGTGAAGCTCTCCGCATAATGTTAAACTTCATAGACGCAATAGTGAAACCAGTAAGATGTGGTCCCATAAACCTACACTGACAACGCTAAAGAATTTCCTCTAAATTTCTTATTGATAAGTTAATGAGTAGAGGAGTCATAGTAACTTACACGTCCCCATACACTCCGCAAAGAAATGGAGTTGCTGAAAGAAACAATTAGACGTGATTTAGCATTGTAAGAGCCATACTAGTCTCCGGTCTATCCAAGCTATTGTGGGGTAAGGCTCTTCTACACTGCCTTTATTCTTAATAATATTACGTCATCTTTACCGCCTCAACTGCACATGCACTACTGGCGGAGCGAAGGTCAGGCATGAAAAAGTTTCGCTTTTCACTGTCACAAATTATTAATCCAAATTCACTCAAAGTCGTATTCAGCAGGGATGTTCTTTTTAACGAAAGTGTCGTTTCCAAAGATGTATCCGTTCATGGTCGGAGAGTAACTCCCTGCACGTACTTGACAGGAGTTCGACCGCAGCCAACACAGGTAGAGATGTCGAGTCAATGCAACTGCGTCAAATCCAAAAATTAGCCACTGTAACCATTCACCATGTGCCAACCTTTCTTCCAGCAATATAGACACTTAAAATGACGTTGGTATGAAATCATTGGTGGTAAACGCACCAGAGCTGGTGCGAGTGGTACTAACCCAAACTTTGTAAATCTGATAAAATATTGGCACCACCTTATTAACTCAAGCTCTAACGACTAATGCGCGCGCTATTGCCTCGGCAAGGACTCTTGCTGGAAACGATGGATAGCGACTATAAGTCGGGGTGGTTATATGCTATTAATCAGGAATTCTCTTGTCATTCCAAAAACTGCGCTTGGATCCCCGCCGTACTGCCAAAAGGCTGAAAAAGAGTCAGTTGCAAGTGGGTCTTAAAAGTTAAAAGCAACCTTGACGGCAGCGTCAAAAAATTTAAATCCTGAATTTGTGCTGAAGGTTTTACTTAAGTATATGGGGAAGATAATCCGGAAACCTTTAGTCTTGTTACGAAGTTAAAGACTGTAAGGCCTTTTATCTGTTTAGCTGCCTCTATAGGATGGAGGTACTACAGTTTGACGTAGACGGTGCATTTACAATCCCAGCATTAAAGGAAGAAATTTATACGGAAGTTCCGCAAGGGGTGGAAGTTGGCAAGCAATATAATTGTGTTAGATTGCTAAAATCAATTCCTGGGTTAAGACAATCTAGTTTAAATTGGAATGTAACCATGCACGGTGACTTGGTTCAGTCTGGTTGTTTTTTTCAATGTCAAGCGATTCTTGTTTAAACATAATGAAAAAACACGGTGAATTTATTATGCTTATAATTATTTGTTGAGGACTGTTTAGCTGCCTGTAAGAACAAAGCCTTTAGCGACGAAGGGGTATCTTACGAATAATATAAGGGTTGAGAGTCATTGATTTCTTTGGAGAGTCGCAGGTCGCAAGAAGTTGACTCAGTCGGGTCAGAGACGTGCGGATCGAAAGATCTACTCTTAAAAATGGTAAAAACTCGTCGGTTACTTTAGTCCTTCGGCAGGTTCTATCTTACCTTATGGTGCAATGTTTAGCTGACTAAAGCTGACAAGCTTGTCACGGGAACTTTGAGCTGTAGCGACTGACTATTGTCGTCTTAGTAGCTTGCTCGCTTCGAGCCTCGCGTTGGGTACTAGCATCGCCTTTCGAAGCGGTTTTAAATCTAATTTGCTTAGAAAGATCTGTTGACGTTAACTCAAACACTAGTCCAACAGTTAACGAATACAGCTAAGTTTCTAAATTAAGCTTTTTTGGTGTTAGTAACAAAAACGAACGCAGACGAAAGGAATGATTTAGCAATGAGTGGTGACTACCATACACAATTCCCCGATCCGAGGATGCAAACTTAATCAGACTTGTCCTATTAGGTATAAAATAGTGCTAGTGCTATATATACATGTATGTTTACAGGTGCAATCTTGTGTCGTTCTCATATATGTATATATAGTACTAGGACTATGTATAGTCCTAGTACTATATATGCTCCGGCGCAGCTCCCGGTGAGATAGCATTAAAATTCTTGGGAAAGTTTTTGGGTTTTAGGGATGAACGTTGTTTATAATGACGCTGGAATTTTTATTATTCAATATAAATATATTAATGACATCCTAACAAGATTTAACCTGAATGACGCAAATTCACTTAGAAACATCAGCTTAATCGAAGAAGACATGTCAAATGATGCTCTAGCCGACGTGCCGTACAAAGAGCTAATCGGCTTTTTACTCTACTGACTGCTGTAATGGGCCTGATATATCGTTCGCTATTGGAAAATTAGTTAGAAGGGCAAGAAGGCCATCAAAGTCTGATTAACTGTCAGCGAAAAACATAGTGATATATTTAAAGTGGGCGCTAAGCATTATAGCACTTAGTACTTATAAGAAACTGGGAAGTTGTAATCAAAAGGATACAGCGATAGTGATTATGGCAATCGTAAGCCAACTAGATACAGCTACCTCCTTTTGATTAATGATACACCGGTGACTTGGAAGTTAGTTTTACAGAAGAATATATCCCCGTTCTACAATGGCGGCAGAGGTTATGGCCACCGGTGAACCCCTAAAGAGGTCCCATGTTTGAAGTCCTTATTAAGAGGTCGTAAGCTCAGGTGATGCTATTCCAATCTTTGTGGATAATCAACCTGCAATTCGGGTTTGTAAAAACCCAGAGCATCATGAGAAAACAAAACACTTTGACATCCATTGTTTTCGCATTCGAGAAGAGCTTAAAGCTGAGACCGTTCAGCTTAACTATGTTCCAACAGAATATAACCCCGACGTATTAACGAAAGTGATTCCTTCCGCAAGCTTTCAATGTGTGTACCTAAATCATTCTAATGTATATTTGCCAATATTAAGGCGCCTTTCTTTAGCTCTTCTTTGAGTTCCCTTTCAAGCTTTTATTAATAATACTCTTGCCTGCGCACAGCTTTAACTTGATTGCGCCTAAACTCCAATCTTGTTCTATCTTTTAGTTTGTGTTTTCCCTTCATATTAGCTCGCCTTTTGTTTCAACTATATTACCTACCCTTACCTGTCAAAAAGTTATACCGTGGGCGCTTTCTTGCTTCAAAAGAACTTTACGATCTTAGGACCATAACATTTCACAATTGTTCTCAAGACGAAATTTTGCAATATTGGAGATCACTGCGTATGCTTTTTAGATAATAAACCCAGGTTTTAGAGGCTTAGACCACCAGCGGAAGTATAGTTGCTTCATATCACAAAAGCTTGTTTATTAATGGCAGTTACTTTTCCTGCATATTAGAGGGTGCAAAAACGGCCAAGTTTTGACTGATTTTTTTGGCAAAGTAAAAATTTGAGTATAGCTAAGTCTGTCGTCTATTACCACCCCAAGGTATTTAAGTCTGCTTACTACGAGGTATAGCGGTTTGGTTTTTGGGAGACTTAGATTTGGAAGAGGCCCTAATTCGCGTAATAATCATATAGCAATTTTTAATGACGTTAATTATTATCTCCATGTCAAGTTTTATCTCTTGAGCACTCACAAAAGAATCGCCTGTTTACAAACACCAGCCAGACGACGCTTATACTAATTTATAAGCGGTCACCTGTGTAGTATATTTAAATTTAAGTGCCTTTTGACACATAGTACATGTAGATAGAAAAAGGTTAGAGGGACAATTAAAAACCTTAGGGTACGTTTACCTTAGGATTTTTAATAAGACTTAAATGTATATCCCCTTGCGGTTAAGATTTTGTTAGTAACGTATGGAAGTACTACCGCAATTAAGTAGAAGGAGAACTGGCAACAATCATCTTCAAACCAGACTGTCATGTCGAATATTTCATGTAAGCTTAACTATTTGGTGGGCGGTGAAGTAAATTTTGCGAAAAACCAAAGTGAAGACTTGGTTCTCTCTAGTTATTTATTAAAAAATAAAATATTATCTATATATAATAGGTTGAAAATCTCTGGAAGGTGCTGTAATAAAGTGTTAATCCTTAATATATTATTATTGGGAGAATATTAAGTGAGGATCAAAGAAAATTTATGCGATGTGGCCCTATAGTCAACCGCACTTTTCTATTATAGTGACTGCAGGTTAACTATAGGCGGAGGAATTTTGCCACACTAACTTAAACTTTGAATAAAGCGGATATTTTACACTATTAAAAATAGACACTATATAATTTGTCGTGCTCTGGTAATATTTTTTCCCAACACCTAAAATTTGACAAACAAGGCGAATAGAATCCCGAACCAAGTTATATTTAGCTCAGAATGAGTAATAAAATTTAACTAATATTTTTTATATTGATTACAATAAAACTTTTACTTAATTTATAATATATATGTTGTTTAGTTAACAAATTTAATTTTATTTACAGACTTTTTGGCAGTTTTTTTCTTGCTCAAGATTATTATTATCTTATCTCTTCTTTGGCGGCATAAAACAGTTCTTAGCGATACTTTAATTTTTGATACAAAAGATGTCTTTTTACACTGTAAAGAGAGTCATTTAGTTATAACTGGTAAAAATAATTAGTTCTAGTCCATAAATATATGGGTAACTATTTTGCAACTTGAACATCTATTAATTCTCATTTTTACAGTATTAAATATTAAATAAAGTAACTTTACGTTACTAAGATTTTCGTATTAATGGTGACTACAACTAAGTGCTTTATATTAATAATTGGTAGTTAAAATTATTTTTTACAGCGACTTATAGTTAAACTTCGATATTTTTACCCGGTATCAAGGCAAGAGCTATATGTATCTTAAATAAATTCTATATTTGTAGGCTTTTACCTGTAAATTACTGTGATATAACTTCAGTGTACTAGGCGTATTTGACGACACTGCAATCAGTTCTGAAGTAATGTGTCTCCTTTCTTCCTTGCTAACTTCATTTTCTATTCGAGTTACGTAAACAAAATTTAACTTATTGCTGTATATATAAAAAATAAATAACCTATGGGATCAACATGTAGGTTTATACTACAATTTAAATCTCCAAACTGGTATTTTATGTTATGAATTCCTTCTGTTGTAATTTTTTTCTGCGAAGGGCTTAACTTAAAAGGGCAAACATCTTCCACCAACGCTTTTAAGTGGGAAATAGAAACGTAACCTGAAGGGTTTAACTTCAAACTTTTGTTTACTGTGGGACAAATTATAACAGGTGTTTTAATTGAAAAAATTGTTAAGTTAAAAGGTTTTCCATTAAAAACAACAGATTTGTATAAGACATAAAGTGTATTTGAACGTGGTGAGTCCTTTTTATTTCGGCATTGTAGGCTTTGGTTAAATATTTGGAGCAAGCCGTCATCAATTTTCTTAATTAAAAATGAAAAGAAGTAATTAGAAGTATTTAACGTTGCCTTTTGGATGTCTTTTTCGGAGTTAAGCAGAAATTGGAAATCACTACGGATCCTTGGAAAATCATCACAGAGACAATTATCTGACCTAGGTCTTTCTATTGCTAATATGAAATTTAATGTAAAAATTAATGCACTTATAACCGTAAGCATCTTCATTAACTTGTTAAATTTTTTACTCGTAATACAGAAAATTAATAACTTAAGAGTTATGAGTAAAGCTTTATGGTTAGGATGTTGATAAAATGTAAAGGTCATTCTATAATTAATCTTATTATATCCTTAATAATAAGATAGTATACCGCGTAGATAATTTGTTTATAAGGTATAATCTTATTAAAAATTTAAAATATAGTAGTTTACCTTTTTTTTAAAAGATTAAATCTCATCTATATAAAACTCAAACATTTAAATTAAACATTTTTTTTGTATAATAACTAAAGTACGCATAATTTACCATCTTTCTTTCTTTACCCAAACCTATCATTATTTAAAGATGTTACCATGTCGATTCTGTTACCAAAACGACATGGAAATCAAATTTAAGTGTGGTTAAAGATGGTGAAAAAAGGACAGCATCGACTAGTGATAACCAAACAAACTTCCAAACTTTATAAAAAAGGTGAAAAAAAATCCAAAATTATATAATACTTTGTTGCTTAAATATCTTATAAGTTATTTAACTATTTAAACTAAAATTTTAAAATACTTTACACATGTATGTATTCGTTTTTCCTGGAGCCCGGCTTGGTATTTTTGCTACCCTTCAGTCAGTTTTTAATTTTAAATTAAAATTTTAGCTCTAATGATGACCTAAAGAAGATAATTATGCACTAAAAAGTTTTTAATGAGATAATTACAATATACATATGCCCTACCTACATAAAAACAATTTTTTTAAATTTACTTTAATTACAACCTATAAATTTGCCCAAAGATAATCTAAATAAATTAAAAATTAATATATAATATAGTTATTTTTAAGGATACCGCTTCGATGTCACAACATTGAGTATACATTGTTCTTAAACCTTTTTATCAATCGAAGGTTTTCTGATTTCGTGATTTCCCACCTTTACAAAGAGATCTAAATTACTCACTCATCGGATAGTAAATGGA